CTCAATGGTCGCTGAGCCTAGCGGGTTTTAGTCGGGAACGCATCACAAATTCCGATTCCACATTATGTCCGCATTCACAGCAGGACTTGTTTAACGCCTGAAGATATACTTCAAGTTCTCGATCTTTCTTCACAGCGTTGATATGATCAGCATATGATCTGGCTGCATTGTACTTGGACTGCACATCCTCGAGGTCGGATTGGTAGGGCTCACCCCCAATAGCGTTGCTTCCAATGACTGAGAACAGGCTTTGTCAGCTAAGTTTGGTTGCTGAGTCACACGTTTGTTTTTGAACTCATCTTTGCACTCGCAGCAAAAGTCGCAGGCAGCATGACTGGAAGCGGGTAAAAATCGAATCGTGTTCTCCCACCGACGGAATTGCCTCCAGAAATGACAATACCTGATGACAAACAAATCACAGAACCCAAAAGAGTTAATCCGGAAGAGCTGAAGAACTGGCCAGTTGTATTGCAACTGAATGACGATATGTCATCTCTCCCCATCTGAAGGTAAATCATTTTGATGCAGCCAGGTGATAGCCAACGGGTTGGAAGGCTTGAAATGGCCGAACCGAAATTGGTCTCAACCATCCTGACTGAGCGTTCCGATCGTCTAAATGCAGCAAAGTGCAGGTCCACACTCTGTCAAATCCCCAGGTGCGACCAAGAAACTGCGAGTAGTAGGAGTTGACTCCTAAAATGTGTAATTTTATCTCTGCATCTGTCTCCAGACTGTCCTCTGCAATGATGAGTGCAGCGTCATCCTCGAACATGCCATCTTCAGAACCTGTCAGAGACTCAGTGAGCAAATCCGGCTCACTATAGGCAAACTCACTTCTATCACCCTCAGTCAAGAAACCGCTAAACTCTTCCTGATGGTTCTGGCCATCATCTTCTTCGAAGATGACAGTTAGTTTCTCATGCCTTTTGGAATGAGATCGCGCAGCCCGTTGGAACCTAACAGACAAACAATGGTGTGGGAGTTTGCAATTAAAAACACATCACAGTGTGTAGCTGGTTTTGTAGCTGTGTAACTTTGTTGGCATCATGCCGGCCGCTTTGGTGTATTGCTCCAATAAGAACATGTTGATAGCCCTGGTCTTTACAGCAGACCTTTTCTTTACCTGGAGCTACAGAAACATGAAAGAATGCACGATGATTGACAATAAAATTGTCACATACTCAAGACTCTTGGATGAGTTGCAGCCCATGGAGTGCACCGCCGATCGAAACGTCCCTCGCAAATCCGCTGAAGCCTTTGATTTCCTAGCCCAAGTAGGGCTACACAGCACTTGGGAGATACAGGCCTCCGAAGGAGGAACCACTTCTTCCTGTCTTTGCATGGCCCTCCGACAATTTGACGGACCTCAGAACAAATTACATTGACCTCAAACCCTCACCAAAAGAAAGAACAGTCACACATCAGCATGGAATCTGGACATTGGGCCCCCTGACAAATCTGTCTTGAACAGCCGTAGCAAAGCTCCAAAAGATGGACAGAAATCGTAGCAAGTCATCTACCAAATCTATAAATTTCCTGTAGCAAGACTTCCGGCAGCACCTGCAGGCTGACAAGCCTGCCAAGCGTAGGACACGATCTCGGCTAGCCCCCTTGCTAGCATGCCTTCAGCAAAAATCAGGGTTGCGTGTAGCCCAAACAATGGACAAAAAAAGGTTCAGACCCTGAAGTGATTCCATTGCTGCTATACCAAAGCTGGGTTACGAGACACGGTCAATCTGCTTCTTCAGAAACAGCCGTCTGGAATTATCATAATTTGGCCGCTTCCTTTGGGACAACGTGCTAGGCATGTCCTTCCCCTGACAAGCCATGCATTCAGCTGCCTGGAACTCCAACAACGCCTCCTGTGTAAACTCCACTTTCCGGATTGGCACAGGCTCCAGTGAGTCTGACAAAGACCGAAAGAAATGCCTGCGAGAAAACTTGTCTTTGTCTGGTGAGCACTCATGCCTGACCAGGTGTGCCTCTGGACGATGTTGAGCTCTTTTCGCTGGCCCAGCCAAGGATCTGAAAAACCTGAATGCAAAGCGCAACTCTGGAAGTAGTCTGGCAGAACAGGGCGAGAACAATCTAGCTTAGTTTAATTGATTGAAGATGAGTGGCGTTCTCCTGTCGATCACCATTAGCTCATCAACAAGAACTTCACACCATGGCGGGGTATGGCGGGATGATGTCTCGAACGTTTAATAAATTGAATTAAACAAAGGGCTCATGGGTGATCATGGATTATGCGTTGGCTGTCTACTGGTAACTTGTCTTGACTGGCTGAAGTATTTGGTTGGGGCCAGCTGCGAAGTAAACATCAACTGCAATCACTGGAGTCTGAATCAGACGTGAAAGAGCCGACTGAAGTGCAGAATCTCAGCTCCAACACCCTCCAAATGCTGTAGATCGTCGAGCCTGTTGCAGGGAGTGCTTTGAAAGGACATGAAAGGACCAGGAAACACGGTGTCGTTCATGGTCCTTTTGTCATAACATATTACCTTGACAGCCATGGGTCATGACCTTGTGGATGCTAGATTATATAATAGATTGAAATGAGAAGACATGAGAAGACACATAAGGTCAACAAGCGCCTTCAAAGAAAATGATCCCACCAGGAAAGCCACGCAGGACCTGACAATCAATGGATCATAATGGATCGCTCACATGAACCAACCCACAGGCCCGATAAGGTTTACAAATGCCACGTTTCCTTCCATCTTCTGATGACTGATGGCCAATCATTTGTCCCCAAAGCAATGACAGCCCCTGCCAGCCTGTAGAGAATTTCAATCACTGAAGTTCCTCACCGCACCCAAGAAACCAACCATCCGCACAAAATAGCAAGAGTTATTGAGTGAGTTATTGCAACTTGTTGTGCACTGCCCCGCTTGCCCTGTTGGGGCTTAGAACCGCCATTAAATTTTTAGTGACTGATCATTGATCCTGATGACATGATGGATGTTAGTCCTCCCAGCGTGGACATAGAGGTAGCCCAAGCAGAGGTCCGGCATGCCAGGGTCCCTGGCACGGGAGGTATGCTCTACATACTGACTAGGGGCTGGGAAGCCACTGCCTGGAAGATGGAGATCGCGGACTCACATGGAAACTATGGAGCAAAATAGCTACAGAGATCGGCAAAGCAAGCGAACTTAATTGCAGCCAACTATGGAGTGTGGCACCCAGATCTAATGTTATGAGACCTGAATAGAACGAAATCTACTTTACAATAGTTGACTATACCATTTCACCTGATTTGACCACTGTTGGACCCGCTTTGACCAGACAGCCGCGCTTTCCGCCTGCCGCGGCAGGCGGAGTCGCAGTCGATCGAAGGCCGTGACGCCGATCAGCGGGTCGCGTTGGTGAGGCGACGGTGAGGTCCCCAAAGGGAGGAAATGGATCAGTACATTGTTACAGCCATTGTTCCGAAAAGCCGAAGGTGTTCTCTCGGCCGGAAGTATCTTGCAGTATATGGAAGTATCTTGCATAAGGCCCCCTATCTGACCAGCAAGAAATCAAGAGACCCTAAATCTTCCAACTGTGCAACATGTTTGCCTTGTCTTGTCATCTAAAAAACCAGCTGCAGAAATATGGCGCTGTCTTGGAAGATCCAGCCTTTCGGGAAAGCGCAAGCGACCATGTTTGGTGGGGGAGTATTGACTCACAGCCATGTCAAGACATGTCTGAGGTATTTTTCACAGGTCATCGACATGTCTATTAAGGCTGGAAGATGACATTGACATGGAAAACAATAATGTTAACCTCCAGCTTCTTCAAAGTGACCTTTTGAAGGTTCCTAAGTGACCCGTATAGGAGGCTTGTTTGTGACCTCAAACCAGGTTATCAAGTTCGGTCACTTTGAAGAACCAGGCTATTGTAATCCTATATTCTCCTCCAAGAGACCACTACATTCCGGCGAAGGACTGCAAATCGGGAACCCGCAATCGGCCAAGCGCAGTGAAGGACACGAAGCACCCTCAAAAGGACCGTCAAAGGATGCTTCGTCCATTTGTTGCAACGGCATCCAGTCGTACCCAACCTCAGGTTCGGTACATTTCCGTGAGTTTCTGGACCCTCCTGGCATCTAGTGTTTCCAATCACCTTTTGACTATAGGTACTTGGATCCCTCGGGCATGTGGCAACAAAGGTTGCAAAGCTTACAGAACCATTGCGGGGCACAGCTACCACTGACTCACCAGACGTTGCGCCGGGCTGGTTGGTGAGTCGGGGTTGTGAGGAGTCTTGGTCCCTTGGTCATGGGTCATCTTCAGAGCGGGTGTGGAGTCGAGCAACCTGCTCCTTTTCAAAACCTGCTAACCAACAGGCCAACACATGCTGACTGCCCGCTGTGGCACACTCCGCAAGAAGCTGTCGTTGTGTTCTGGGGAAAACCATGTCTAGTGCAGACTCGTGATTCCTCAACTGCCCCGGTTGAATTGAACAACCTCGAACAACCTCTATAGTACGTCCTACCGGGGTCACGTATACTTCCTTATCCCTATAGGCCTCTCCCTAGGCCAAGTACCTTCTGAGAAGGTGGGACTGGGGTGGGTGCCAGGAGGGTCCAAATACCTTCTGAGGAGGTACTTGGAGGTGTAGGGTATTAGAGGCCACAGACAGAGATTCCAAGGGGGTCACCCAAAGAACCGCTCCTCGTGTTGGACGTCTTGGACCCTTTTTCCGGCGGACGTACGGCTCCGACGCAGACGTCGGTCATATTCCGAAGTGGCCATCTATGAGACCTTATAGTATCCTATAGTATAGTATACCGGATAGTATTTTCTGGAACCAACTCAGATCGGGCTTCGACACCAATCACATGCAGGCATGGAAACCAGATCGCATGAAGTGTAAAGAAAACAAAGAATCATCTAATTTCAGCAGGCTCATCCTATAGTAGTCTCCTTCTTCACCGTGTTTCTGTGGCTTCTAGGCATCGAATTCTTCAGAGCTGGAGCAACAGCGCCGTGTGCGCCGTCCGGCCAGCTCAGACGCGGCAGCTGTCGGGACCTGACGCCACACGTCAAGCGCAGCTCTCGTGGGGCGTGCCGGCTTTTTCATACTGGATCATGTTGGTTTTTGGGGTGGGCGCCGGCGCCGTCCTGTTCAAGCGGTTCTTTCGTGTCCCAACTTGTGTGCAAATGAAGTGGTCCAGCGAATGCGAATCTTGGCTCAATCTCAGTTTCAGGGACGAGGCCAGCCTAGCGGCCTAGCTAGCCTCACAGTTCAAAGCAACAACGCCTCATGGCCCTCATGGCGCTCAGCCAGATGAAGTTGACGCCTGTTTGGGTTGAGAAGGAGTCGGTGACGGAGGGGTTTCTCACGGACGTGGCTTCCCTTGCCGCACGAGAGCTGTTTGATCCCCCCAGACCGGAGATTGCCCTGAGACAGCAACACCTCTTTCCAATCTTTTCCAAGCAATTTCAGGAGAACGGGAAGAAGAACACACTTTTGGTGGTGAAGAACGAAGCTGGTGAAATGGTGGCCTTCGTCGCAGTGCTCGTGGGCAAGCTTTCAGGTACCTTTCGGGATGTCTCGAATGAAGAGGTGGCTCGAATTGCCTATTTGACGGTGGAACCATCTTTGCGTGGTCGCGGCATCGCCTCCGAGCTTGTGCGCTGCTGTGAAGAATGGGCCGCCTTTCGAGGCTTCACCTCCATCTATTTGAATGCTCTCAGTGAGAAGAAACACTTGCAGCATTGGTATTCCAAGCTAGGATATGTCAAAGTTGCTGACGAGTATTGCTCCTCTCCTTTTCCCTGGATCGAGGACTACTGCCTGACCCTGCGGACCAAACCATTGACCAACGTGCTGTGAGCCAGCTGGCCTGGGCGAAGCGTGTGACCCAGCGATTTTGTTTGGTGCTACGTGACCGTGTGTAGCTGTTTATAGGGCCTGAGTGTTTACAGAATAGAAGTGCACATGAGCCAAATGCGTGTCTAGTGACTCTAGTGCCCTGATGTGCCCTGCATGAGAAATGTTTGCAAGCCTTTATATCAGCCTTGGCCCAATAGGGGCCAGCTGTTGTGCGTGCACCCGAAAACAATATGCGCTTGGGTGGTCATGAGACGGACCTCGGAGGGCTTTAGTCCATCCCAGGTGCCATGCGTGACCCCGCGTCACGCAGCGAACAGGTCCTTCGGCAAAGGATACAAGGGCCTATTACAGACATTTCCGGGCCTTTATGGTTTTGCTAAAGGCTGAAGGTGATTTGTTGATGTTCCCCATGGGATCCACAGCCCCCCAAACCTCGGGCATATTCTTTAATTGTGGTCCAGGCTGGACAGCCAATCCAGCCCGTTTTCCAGGCTGGTCTTCTCACCAGCTGGGTTTCTTCGGTTTTTCAAAAGCATCTGGACGATGTAAACGCTTTGCGATCCCCAAAGCTCCGCACCTAGGGTGAAGGCCATTGCTACTAGGGTGGGGCCATCGTTGGTTGGAGACCATCGCTCGTTCGGGCGGCTGGGCTCAGGCTGTGGCGAGCTGGCAGAAGCGGAGCTGAACGAAGACCATCGGGAAGAGCGGCTTTTGCAGGCGTTCAGCTGGGCGAGGGCTGTTCTCAAGGTGCCGGATCCAAGTAGATGATCAAGTATAGTAGAATGTGCAGACAAGGTATGACAAGGTAGATTCTTGATTCAAAATAATAAGACCAACCATTCATATGATGAAGAGGTTTTGCAAATCCATGCCGGATTTTATTCAAGAGTCTACAATTTAGATGAGTTGGTGGCACGGCCTGGCACGGTGGTCAGGCACAAACACCTTTTGGAGCGAGTTTCGCGCGTTTCGCTTGCACGTGGTGTGCACGTGCTGCGTGACAGTGTGCGTGACAGCGACGGAAGGTGAAGCTGTGAAAAGGACCACATGAAACAAGTTATATATAATTTCATATTTGGGGGTATATCAGTATATCGCGAGTCTAATTTATAGGCTTTCTGTGATTTGTCACACGTCTATTACTCAAACAACATATATCAGTGCAGTCTGACTGTCCCGCGGTGCGGCAGTCTCGAGGTGCGGTGATCCGCCCCGAACCATAGCCCCAACAAGATCGGAAAACAAATTGAAACATCCAGTGGCAAGTGGCAAGGAATGTTTGGGAGGCCACCCGAACGCTGAAATGAGCTTCAGGAAGGATCGCATGAAACTTCGACCTCTCCTCTCAAGATGGGAGAAGGAATCCCGAGTAACCAAAAAGCAATAACAACGCATCCAACTAAAATGAAGGGGAGGTGAGGCCCCTTTGTGTTTTTGTTTGCTTTATGGGATGGTGAAAGGGATCAGGAAGGCACTGACAGAAATCATCTCCGTTCACCGGCGACTTCCGGAAAACCCCTTCGTGACACAGCCAGTAGCTGAAAAGACCTACTACCAGGAGTCACAAAGGGGTGGTGTTCAGTGTTTAGTCCCTAAGTGAGTGGATAACAGGCACCCCTAACCTCCATTAAGCACCCTTTGTGACTGCTGGTAGCTTCTTGTTAACGCTTCTAGAAATGCCCTTGTTACGTTCGCAGCTTCTTGTTCGTAACTCGTGCCAGGAGCGGCCCGGGCATCGTAGCTTCCTTCCGGGGCATCGTAGCGATGCCCTTAGGCCCCTTTCAAAGTCGGTCGAACTTTCCTTTTTGACTCATGAACCCTACACCTCCAAGTACCTCCTCAGAAGGTATGACTGGACCCTCCTGGCACCCACCCCAGTCCCACCTTCTCAGAAGGTACGACTGGAGGCCTAGGGGAACTACACCACCTAGATTTCACTAAGACTTTTGACCGCGTGTACGACGGTCACTGGGCCAAACGAATTATGACTGAACTGAACTCTCAGGGAACTCACACTATACACGTCTTTTTGGGACTCCCTCCAGCATCCCCCTGACCCCTCTGAGTCTTCTAGCTGGTCGCCTGGTTGGGCTTCTTTGGCGCGGGTGCGCCGGCCGTCGCTAGGCGCGGAAGCAGGTGGAGGAGGCAGGGTGGCACCGCATGGCACCGCACGAGCGTCGAAGGCCGCCGGAGTGGATTTCTTTGAGTTTCCCAGAAGTGACTAGGATTGAATTCAAGTCTCTTTGAGTCAATTCAAAAGGAAGTGACAGGATTGTTGCTTGGAAATCCTGGTTTTGGGAAGTTGTTTGTTGTCCTAAAGGATCTGAAGGGTGAATCCTCTTCTGAGTGCGACAGCAAATCCAAGAGATGCACGATCATCGAAGTTAGCCAAAGGAATTCTTGCAAGCTTCGGGTAGCATGTGTTTCGACACCAAACAAAAGATCAAATGTGCTCATTCACCAGGCAAGCTTCTATGCATTGTGGTGAATAGATGATGAAAGCACACGTTTTCATGTGTCATGTTTCATATGCTTTGGATGATCCAGACATGTTTGGATATATAGTCAGTAGTGCACTCATGCGATGTTTTTGCAGATCGCTAGGAAGTATTTTTGGCGGGTTTTGCTGATGCAATGAATTCTCTGGGAAATGGCCGCCAGAAGGATGGGGGTCGCGGCCTTTGCTCCAGACCCGTGATGCGCCGCATCAAGATGTTTCCAAACCCAAGATGTTGGTAGACCGTTTTCACCCAAAGATGTTGCCTGGAGCCTGTTGAACAGGTGGAAGAGATGAATGACTCCCAAAGGACACCTGGGACGTGCTGCGCTTGTGAATGGGTGGCTGCGGACGGAGACATCCTGAAAAGACTGAAGCCCTAGGGATCCAAGTACCTTCTCAGAAGGTACTTGGGACCCTCCTGGCACCTACATAACAGTGCCTCCAATCACCGTACCTGAGAAGGTACTTGGATCCCTAGGGAAGGAGAAGGACATCTTTGCTTTCGTTTAATCAACAGTTAGGAATCCAACAGGACTGGATTTGCATATCAAAACGCCAAAAACAGACTGGTAGAGGGGTTGCATTAATCAACAGTCTTTACATTAGCGGGAATTATATGAGTGCCTCCATCACTTTTTGAACCAATTGGAGCCTTCATTGCTTCTAAGCCAACGGATCGTTGGAATTTTGAATGTTTTATATCTGTGGGAGGTTTGGAATACGACACTCGTGGCCCGAGGGAGTGCAAGTCGTAAGATAGAGTGAAGCAGAAGATGTCGGATTTCAGCTGGGCCTTTGAAGATCATGATCAAAATTGGCCAACTCAGAGCAGACACCACCCTGGACCCGAATCCTTTGGAGGGGTTTTCAGATCAAACCTAGGCTTTGAGAATCCGGACTGGAGTCACGGATCGTGTTCAACACGGAGCACATCTTCACGAACACTGGCACTGCTCGTGAAACGCCGAACAGCCTTGACCACTCGATCTACGGAGTCCGATCAACGCCGGGTGCCGGGTGGTGCCAGTTCCGGCCAGGTCCTAGTCCGGTTCAACTGGTTCAACCTGCGGAGTAGAGCCATTCACGTTTCGATCCCTCCGTTTTCAGGGAGTTGGAGTCGGTCAAACCGATTGGCCAACGGCAACCGATTGGCCATCGTGGGTTGCTTGGAGTATGAACCATGTTTGTTTTGGGCTAGACATGGCTAGACTCATTGAAGAGGGAGCCTCACGAGCGCCCAGCACCCTGCCGTCACCAGGAAAGCCATTCATGCTGCCCTCAGCCAAACTTGCACGGTGCGAAGGGTTTTGGCCGCGGGCGGGCAGTGCGTGCATGGGGTGGGGGTAGTAGTGGAATTGGACTTGATACTGGGCCTCGGAGACATGTTGGTTTGTGGTGTTGCCAAAGATGGGACTGGACCCTTCGGCCTTCATATTGAGCAATTCGTTAGTGCACAAATGTTGCGTCGTCGGATCCAATGAATGCGCAAGTTCTGCTGGTCTTGGTGACTGGTGACCCAGCCATTAGGACTTCGAAAGTGTCAACACATGTCGACGTCCAAAGGGCGGTCCCAGATCACGTTGTTCCAGATCACGTTTTTCTCGGGGTGACGAACGGCCATGGTTTTTGGGGCAGCTCGTCCAGAAAAAGTGGATCACCTTTTAAACGGTTGGAAAAGCTCCATGATTTGCCATTCAGATTCGGTTTAAAGACTGAGGGAGTCAGGGAACCCACGGTGAAGGCTCGTTTTTGTCAGATGCAGACCCGCCGTTCACCGTGTCCTGCCATTGACCCCAGAGGGCACCACCCTGGCCTGATCCGCAGTCCTATGGTAGTCTGATGGAGTGTGGAACTTGCTTGAACTTGCTTGAGCTGAGGAACAAATACTCAAACATTCCATGGCAGCTGTTGTTTGCAGGACACGGTTCCTATGTTTCAAGATGAGCTGGGTTGTCATCTGGGCTGTCGTCTGCGCCTTCGCTGTGCACTAGGTGGTTCAAGGCCCTCCTGGAACGGGAAAGACCAGCTACTTGGTATAAGCATGTTCGTTTGCCAGTGACAAGGAGAGCTTCATGCTTAACATCTAGCAGTTCCTGAAAGCAGCTGGCTGAGGTCACCTGGGATCACACCCAGTCAACTGTGTTGATTATAACAGGCATGTGTCTTTTTAACAGCTGCAGCCATCGGTGAGTAGTATGGTGAATGTGGCAAATCCTGCCGTGAACCCCCCTGGTTCGCGGCGCGAAGCTCTCTTTGCGTCAGGGTCAGACCGGTCCAACTTTCAAGGCGTAGCGTATTCCACGTCTCTTCAGACCGGCGGTCTGAACTCCCACGTCGTTCGCACCGGCCGTTTCTCAGTCCGAACTGCCAGTCCCATGGAGTTTTTGGGATTTGGGATATGAAAACGCAGGCCTCTCAAATCAGCTCTCGATGGATCATGGCCTTCATCGATCGCATCTATCGCGAGAAGTGTGCGACTGAATCCTCCCAAAAGTTGAACACATCGTCCTCTTATGTGGATCCATGTGGATCCGGGACTGGTTCACTGGTTCATAGGGACTGACTGACTCAGTTCAAGATGTTGGTGCGATGGACAGCGTTTTCGGGGCGACGCCGCACCAATTCCATTCAGTACCACGTCCGCCCGTTCGTGCGGTTTTCGGGTAAGGACGGATTCCGGTGCGTTCTGCGGCGGGGCGAGTCCGCCATGGTGGGAAGAAGCGAAACCACGTCGACCGGCCATGGCGGCGGGGTCAAGTCCGTGGCCATCATTTGGTACCTAGAAACCACAGAGAGAGAGAGAGAGAGAGAGAGCGGTTTGAGACCGACCGTGACCTCGGACCCGTTCGGTCGGTCATTCGGTCGACCGCGGAGCGACCACATCGGTACCCGACTCGGTACCCTACTCGGTACCCGAAAAAAACATCCGATCTTGCAACATCTTGCTGTGCAAAAATGTGTTGCCAACCTTGGTTGTGTCTATGGAAAAGGCATACATGTTGCACAGTTGGAAGATCCAGGTATAAGACACAATAAATAACTGTTACCAAGAGATCCAAGAGTCGTGGAATTTGTAGGGTCTAAAAAATACACGATGTTTTTTTGGAAAACACGATGTTTGCAGATTTGCCACATTAATGGTCATCCTGCTGGAATTGTAAATTCTGACATTCTGAATATGTTGTGCTTGTGAACAAGTATGTCTTCCAAAAGGTGCACACACTCCTCTGCAAATTCCCATCTGACCCCTGCGGCCCACTTTTGCGCATCTCGTTCAAGATCGAATGTATCCTGCTTTTCTCCAGTGTTTGTAACTGGCTTGCAGCAGCCGCTGAAGAACCCTCGTGATGACCTGAGCAGCTCCTGTTCGACGGCTTACACGGCATGCTTTGCCTATATAGTCCTCGTCTATTTGCACAGCTGTGATGAGTGGATTGGCTGCGAAGGACAGGTCACGTCTGCATGCTGTCTCATACAGCTCCGTGAAGATGTGATCCAGGATGTGAATCTTTGGCATGAACGGGAACATAGCCATATTTCTTTGGTAACACATCACGGCGAGAGCATGGTATCCATCCAAAAATTTCAGGCCTTTCATGGCTATCGCCTTTGCCTCTGCAACAGGGATCCAAACGTCTGAGCTGTACAACGATTTCAAGCAAGAACTGATGCAAGAATTGCAATCAAAGCACAGCTTGAGCAAGTCACTGTGGTACATCTGCTCCACGTCGACATTGTTGCTTGACATGTAGTCATTGAAGAACTTTGACAAAAGGGTCGACACATGCCCCTTTGACCAATATCCGTTTGGATATGTAGCACGGTCCGGCCATCCTATGGTCAGCTGAGAAATTGTGGAAACGAATGGCATATGGCCCCGTCCGTCACAAAACTGCAAGTAGGCCTGGGTCAAAGATTGAAATCGACTTTCCGCGCTGCCACCACCCCCGTCCATGTTGTCGCTCAAAAGTGCTAAGCAACCAGCAAGAAATGATTTAGCAACTCCCAGATGCCAGGCGTGCCAAAGGTCAAACGAGAACAGCCGGGGCAATTGATGCGGCACGTGAGGTAGACGACACAGCGAAGGAGTACCATTGAATGGGTTCTGCGCAAACATTGTGTTCTTCCAAGGTCTTTCAGCGTTCACTCGGAGATCCTCAAAAGGTACATTGAGTTGCCCCGCTTGGCAGAGGTGACATATACCTCGCGGGTTTGCAGCTTCACTCCGAGCACGTTTCTCCACGTTGTGGAATGACCTCTGCAGGTCACCTGCCTTCACCGACCAGACCCAGTCCCCAACTATGCTGATGCAAGCACCATAAAATGTGTGCCCATCCTTGCTTCGAACGCCGTGCTCCAACAGGTGCAATGCATCGCGCGTCATGAACTCCAAAAGATCTCGCAATGCTACTTCATCGCGCACCATTTTGGGAAGAACAGTTGAAGGAAAACGATGTTCAAACGAACTCCCTGAATAGTTCAACTTCATCGCCAAGTACGGCTTGGTTTTCCTGGCCTTGTTGGCAGCCTCGGTGCCCAATCCCAAAACGGAATGGTAGGAGCAGATCAAGAACGGTGCTTTCTTTCTGCCGCGACCTTCGTCGCCATGAAGCAACAATGGCACTGTCCTGCTCCAATCCCGATCTGTGGCAAACAAACCATGGTCTGGATGGAGTGCCCGAAAACGGGTCCAGAACTCAGTCAAGATTGCCCTTTCTCGCTCTGGGTCAGGGCGAACAAGGCCACAAACCATGTGCCAACAGTTCTTGTCAACTAGAAACTGGCACCAATGTTCCAATTTCAAAGCTTGAAACTCACCCGTATAGCGCACCCCAAGTGTCTTTGGGATTGTGGTCAGAGGAATTGGGATTGTCAAGCGCAATCGTTCCACCACTTTCCGGCCCCCACTTTCACTGTGTGCCTGGGAGCATTGGCTAAGCTCAGTCAAGCCCCCAGATCTGCTGGCGCTTTCCAAGCCTATATCCTGCACCACGCCTTGCGCAGTGCGGATCGCAGCCCTCCAAGAAGTGGCCTCAGCCAAAATACACGTCCATGCAAACACATGGCTATACAAGTCCATAGCGTATTCACATGCATGCAATGTGCTGAAGTAACGTGTCGCAGTGCAGTCTCAGTTAATTGTGCTTGCAGTGGCATCCCAACAGCGCGTTTTCCACAGCAATTTCGAAGCAGTTTGCCAAACCATATGTACCAACTGATAAATACATAATGGCTAGCTAGCATTTCTGTTGAATTCGATCAGCGGCCCTTGGACCTCACCACTTTTGGGTCTGGTGGGTACTTAAAAGATCTGTACACTACGTAGCACATGCATGCTCCACTTGGGAACATTTTCACGCTGTCCCCTCCACGACGGATGTTGCGGCATCCAGTTTCACCTCGGTGGGTTTGGGATGGAGCGAGAATGGGCCGCTTGACTCTGCAGCTTTTCAGGGTACATAGTTGCTCAAACAGTGTAAATCACAAAATATTTTTTTAATGATTTCTGTTGATCGATTTCCATACCATACAGGACACTGATGCATCAAACGTAAACGCCAACAAGGCACTGTGATACTTTTCGATCAGGGCTGCTTCCAACATAGCAGGACCAAACGGTTCCGAAGTGATGTAAAACACGATCATGCCCGTCCATCTTTCTTTGGCAGAACTGTAGCCATAAAGGCTATTCCCCCAGCGCCAAGATGCATCGTGAGTGTACCCTATCTTAAAGATGAGGGGAGAGAGTCTATAACAAAGACCGTCGATCACATTGATAGCATGACTCAACACAGAGCCAGCAAGTGCACCAAGTTTGGGAAGTCGGAACGCAATGCACTCCTGCACTGACGCTGCTTCCGAACACATGGCTTGCAGGCCTGGTTGGGCCAGCAACTCTGGGGGTAAGCATTCTTTCCACTTCGGGCCACCAGGATAAACTAAGCTGTCATCCAGCTTCAGGGAGAGCATGGGTTCTTGTACTTGATGTGGGCGAGCATTGGCAACCCCAACGCTCAAAGCTGACCGCCATGCATAGGCAACATCAGATTCCTCAAGCAATCATGATTGAGTCAAACCTGTATTGTTGCACAGAAATCTTTGGCATACATGCCTAAAGCATTTGCATAGTGTATGCAAATTAAAGCCAAGTGTCGGAACGGTGGCAAGACAGCAAGTCAATTAGTTCCTCTTCAGGGCTCTCTTCATATGGGTCACCATGGCTGGAAGAGGCCATGGTAAAGTTGTCTATGCACACGTCACGAAATGTCATGAGATGGTTCTCATATGCAGACTTAGTCTGATCCAACCCTGCCTCATTGCGATACCTCAAGGTCCTACCCCTGCCATAGGAGTTGAGTGTCCACAGTATTGGGATGATGGGTTATCATGATGGAACGGCTTCGGAATAGATTTCCAAGGAGGCTCCCATGCTTTCTCAAGTTTGAAGAATGTATGAGCCCATGGCTTGTCAGAAGTCCCATAACCTCCGAAGCAACCCCCAGTGGAGATGACAGTCGGTGACAGTGGTTGAATGCTTGCCAATGAGGTCACGACTCCTTCACCGACATCGCCGGCAATGGTTCTGACCGCAGCGCCAGCTCTTCTGTCACCTGGCTCAGCCGCTGGGTAGTTGGAGGTGCAGGTACAGGTTGGAGGTAAGAGCTGAACATACAGATAAAGACTTTGTCGATATATAGATCCAAACAAAACATGAAAGAGCCAGCCTCACACGAAAAAAAGAAGCTTTATATAGCACGAGCATAATGCATATAAGTGTGAATAGAGTAAATGAAGTGGGAGGTCCGTCCAATGCAAGACTATTTTCTCCCACAATTCACGATGGCAACGGTGCTGTGCGTCAACGAGACTCCCACCGCCAGCTGATTCCCTTGGTTGTTGAATTAGAAACAATACATGCAAACAAGTACCAAAAATCCAAGAGAACATTCACACATTTGGCAGATGGTATGGTTCACAATTTGCATCAACACATGGGAAAACCAGGACGGTGAAAGTTAACACACACAGTTGCACCTACAGAACCATGAGTGAGCTTTGCAGACCCTCTCCCAAAAGCAGGTTCTATCCCGCACAACTGTGCGGGTTTTCTGCCCCTACCGGTCTTAAGCTGCACCCAGAAATTCAAAATCTATAGTGTAAAATCACTTGGCCTTCTTGGCCTTCTTGGCTTTCTTTTGTTCACTAACATCAGCATCATCTGCACATGTGCCACGCTTCTTGCTACTTGAGCTAGGCACACCCTCATTAGCCTTACCCTTGTTGTTGTCCTTCTTGTCCTTCTTCGCGGCCGCCGCGGTCTCGTCCTTCTTCTCGTACTTTTTCGCTGCCCTGTGCACGTGGGTATTCAGAACATTTGGAGCATTCGAAGATTCATTATGTTAAAGATGTTGGGTGGATATCATCTCAACTTCTTCATAATTTGATTGGAATATACGCGATCTGAACCAACAGTCTTTGGGACAACTGGGAAAACCTGGGCCCTCTACACATCACAAGCCTTTCATCCCAATCTTGCTGAGGCCAGCCAGCCTCGTTTTCATCTCCACCGATTTGGCCGCAGATGACCTTGGCGAGGCTGGACTACAAAACGTATAGTTGTGAACAAACCCTGATACATGCGAGTCACCTATGTCACGTCCATCAGTTCTCAGTTTGGGTGGGACATATGTACCGCAAGCGGATGCAAATGTTATATAGCGTTTAGTAAGGCAACTACGCAACAGTTCCATTCTTGATGATCTGGGTCGCTTCCTTTACAAACCTTGGAATCAAGGCTCAGGGTGACATGATATCATTACGCATGGTTAAGTCACATTCATCATTTACAGAAGATATGGAATCAAAAGAAGCCTGGAAATGCCTGGAAACTCACCCTTGAAGTTTCCGAGCTCACCTCGCGACATGCATTCCTGAGCCTTGTCATAGTCCTCATCCAGCTTTAGCAACTGCTGCTTCAGCTTGGTCGCATACCTAAGTCGCACGACCCTCCCAATTAAGATGCTTTAAGGATCAGAGTGACAATAGTGACAATAAGCACAAATTCTTCGATCTCAAGTGGTTATGTATAAACAGTCACAAGCGAGTCTATGGCAAATAAAGTGCCCTTGCATGGTGTCGTTGCTCTTGTAGGAACTATCAACTTCACGGATCAACGATCGAAGTTTGCCGCATGAGCTCAAAACGGAACTCATGTAACTCTGCAATGATTGCTTTGCCTCGCGATTGCAGTGGTTGTTCCAGGACGGATCCAAATAAAGTTGGCACAGCCGGTATGGGATGAGGACTTTTTACCCTTTGGTATAGATGAACACCAGCAATCAAATCAGTTCCAGTTGGACTCGCCCTCCCAAGTGGTGCTTCCCTTTGTTTGGATAGTCAAAAGATTAACTGTACCAAAGATAGAAACATCCAGTGGGAGTGAAGCATACAATTCGCTAAACTGAATCATCGCATGTAGGCCTCTGTCTCCTGAGCATTGTCACCGGCCGTTGTGTCATTCCTGTCCGCGTTCACCCTGGCTTCCATCGCGGCGAGGCCATCGAACGTCTTTGGGTCAACAGCTGGTCCTTCAGCCGCCTGGCAAGCAAAGCAGTCGGTCGGATGGGAAGAGCTAAAAAATATTGATGTGTGATGAAGATACCAGATGCAGACTATGATCAAGAAAATAAAAGGATAAACCACCAGGTTCACATATAAATTCTAAAGTATTTACATGGATTGGGGCTGTCAATTCCAAGTTGGGCCCACCTTTTCAGTCTTCTTATGAATTTCCTCGGTGCTGTGGCTCAGCTCACTTTGAGCTCGTTCCTTTACCACCACTAGGTACTCTTCCACGCCATCGTATCGATTCCTCCTCTGGCATTCAAGTGTGTCAAAGACTGTAAACAACCATGCGACCATTCACTTTATCATTGTTTGATCAAAATGGTAAGTTCATCAAAAGAAACAGTCAGTCCTGTAGTGAGTCTCTTTTTTGGCAAGACATGCCTTCTTTGCTCCTTCAATTCGGCTCCTTGGAAAATGACCGATGAACTATATACCAATCAAGAACATTGGTCGATGATGACATTATATCAAAGCTGGAGACCTGAAGTCAAAACAACTTATTTGAGTAATCGACTGTGTGTGTTACTAAAGGTATTCCATGTATGTTACTCCAAGAATCGCAGACCACTTGAGATCTTCTTTCATCTCGCGCTCACTCAGCCACTGTTCGTCCACCCAAGTCGTGTGGCTGGAGCGCTTCTTGACAATGATTTCCAGGGATGCGATAAAATCCTCCTAGCCATTCCAAAGTGATCTAATAAAAATAATTGTGAACTTGGTTTGGTGTTGTAGCATGGAACAAAGAATGAATGGCTGGCTGATGCCCGGCCTTGGACCAGTTACTATCCATTAAAAGCTTGGCCATCTCATTCTGCGGTCGGGATTTCCACTCCGTTTTCACCCAGTCTGGCACATTCAAATGAGTCCGCGATTTATGTGCTCCGCACATACGTCGGAGCCTTGCTTTTGCAGCCTCCCGTAGTTTCTCCTGCAGTGGACATGCATGGGAGTAGGTATGGTGATCATGGTCTTGAGTTTACGTATACGTTCACATATATATGCCGGAAGACCGTAGCCTTTAGCCACGTGCATGCGCATGTGTATGCACACGGTTGCCAATTCATGATTGGCGCCAATCTCACCAGGTTCATCGAACAATGTCCTGGCGAGTCAACGGTCGTCGAGGCTTCGGAGCTGCTGTTTTGCCACCAGCTGGACCCTGCGGTTCCTCACTCTCTACTTGGTTGGGACCACCTGGCATGTCTGGTTGCATGGCTTCCGCAGATTTGGTCTCTGCCGGATTCGGCTCAACGGGCTGCACCTGACTGGTTTTGGTCAGTGGTTCTGACATTGGTGCTGAAGGTGCTTCAGTCGGCATAGTAGCTGGGATTTCAGGGACAGGTGGGGTTGTCTTTCGCGTAGCGTCAGTGACCTGCACACATGATTCGACTCCTTTGAGCCAAGAAATTCACATCAAAAAACACACGCGTGTGTTTGTCTCTTATCCACATTATGGGGGTCCCTCCGGAGCCTCCACGATCGATTGTCCTAGTGCTGCTGCCACTTCTTCTTCACTGGCCTGGCCGATTGCTGTGGTAGAGAGACCCCCCCACAAAAGGCAAGATAAAAGGAATCTACTTTGATTGTTCTATATAAATTCCAATTTCTGACAATTGCCGGGTAGTCGAATGCAAGTTCATGTTGACCATTCTGGGTGATTCCTTGGGATCCCGGGTCAAGCACATAGTAACTGTTAATCAGGTATATCGATTTACTTCAAAGGAGAATCATGAACACCAAACAAATGATTTCGAATGTTTGGCCCTTACAAGTGGATTGGAATGTTGACACTATATAAACTTCCTGAAGCTTGTTGGCCACCCCTGGTGCCACTGGAAGCCGGCCAACCCACAGGAACCTCGCCTCCAGTGTCTCCACGGTTTCGATCCGAGATTGTGGGGAATCCTGGGCCAGGGGCTCCAAGGGACACACACACACACATGCCACGCAAGTTGGGTATATATATATATATAGTTGAGCCGTATATATGCTTGCACGATTTTTTTTGGAACTGTTCTTGCACGGTTCTTTTTTTGGAATTCAATTGTGGTTGTGCAATACACATTTGAAGCGAGCGTCGGCCCTCGGTACAGATGATGCGGCAACTAGAACTCTAGCAGCTTCCACCTGGGCTTCCAAGTCCTCGCGTGTCGGGCAGGGCATCGAAGTCACCATCCCAGTATAATACTGAAAAAGCTTTTTGTATGATAGGTTGTTTCTACAATCATGTTATGACCATGTCCAAATCTTTAACCTATATAAAGGGTCCTTAGTCACTTGTAGGAGGTCTTGTTCCTCAGCCCGAAGTCGTTCAGCTTCGTCTGCTAGGTGTAGGACACCCTCGCTTAGAGAGGCGCAACTCCAAACCCTGGTGCTGCCACCCATTTCGGATTTGCATTCCATGTGAATCGCCATGGATCACAGCCAAGTGTTCGTGAGGGTCTCACAAAAAAAAAAGCTCAAAGCTAAGCTAAGCCCAAAAAACATCAAAGGATTGAACGATTGATTGCCAACACACTTGAATTTCAATTGGCAAAAACAAATCAAACAAATTGTCACATCACAGAATGTCTATCCATCTGAGCCCCTTTTTTCCATAGTGGCGACCTGCATCCGGCCTACAAAATGAGTTGAAAAACTCAGTTGGGACCAATTGGAGCCAGAAGGCTTGAACCCATCTTTTTCCTACGGGTTCCTACGGGTTCCCTATGGGTTCCCTACGGGTTCACTACGGGTTGCCAAAACACGATGTTTTAATTTTTTACTATCAAAACACGATGTATTCTCAAAATCGCTACGGGTTCACTACGGGTAAAGACGGGTTCCCTACGGGTTCACTACGGGTAAAGACGGGTTCTGTATATCATCCCAATTGAGTTCTGCCTAAAAACCCGTCAATTTGCATTTGGACCCACAAAATCCATAAAAATACCAGATTGGATATGACTTGGAGAGGACTGTACCTTGGAAAATACCACCAGATGCAGCGACCTCCGCCCCCACGGCTCCTGGTGCAATGAATTGAGCCCATTTGGGGCGCCATAGTCGTGAACACTATGTACTTTACAGTTGCTTTGGGATAAAAGGCCTCCATGTGTGAGGGATGATTAAATGTTTTCCTTTCCTCAAATAATTGAAAGCATCCTTCAGACCAGAAAAGCTCAGATCTCCAGGCTCATCTTCCATCAGCTGGAAACTTTCGAGAGCAGGCGGGACAGCATCGGGTAGTGGAACTCTCCGGGCAGTAGCAACCAAAGCATCATACAGGTCCACCATAGCGAACCCGAATCTCACCGTATACTCCCTTAGTATAAATGTTGATTTGGCCCAGGATTTAGAAGGGTAGACCCAATAATTACAAATTCATGTTTTGATTGAAGTACATCTTTTGTGGGTGACCAAATGGACTTGAGCCCGTTTTCCTAATAATAAGTGGAAATGTCTCATGAAGGTTCGTTTTTGAAACCCAACAAGTGTCAACCCATGAGTCGAAATTACTGATATAAAGAAACTAATCAAAATGCGTGCTGAGTGTCTCAGTTTTCTTGAGAGCTGCCGTTCCCTTGTAGCAGGTCTTACCAGCTTTGTTCTTGTAAACAATAGCCGTTGGTGCCCCACCCTCCTCCATGGATTTGCGTTTCCAGCCTGTCAGCCGGCCTCTATCCAATTTGGATACCTGGTTCGAATTTGAGTACGCCCAGTGCCTTTTCGGAGTTCTGGACGCGTAGTGGCGCATCCACCAATGCACCTTCGACACCTGAGCCAGATGACTACAGTAAGTAGGTGTCCATCCGGAGGTTGTACTGTTCCGAGTGTAAGTGCGCATGAATATAAATTTAAGCATTACTTATCATCAACAGGATACAGTAGCCGGTCAGGTATGAGAAGTCAAACTGTCACGGTTTACATATGTTTACACCTTTAGTGGCCAATGCCAAAAAGGATCCTCGAATTGAACAACTTAGCCCTCTACAGCGCTACCGCCATGGGCATAGTAGAGATTGCACAGGAATTGCCGGTAGAACGGGAAGTACTGAAGCAACGATCCACTTGGCTGCTCTAGCAGCCAGCATCCCCCCAAAGCTGTTGTAAGAAGCAACAGGTATACAGTCCTTAGGCGGCAATCCAAAACGGATCAGTTAATCATTCATACAATTCGGAATTGTAGAACATCACTTGCCGTCGGGACCCACCCAAGGTGCAAACCCTGAATCTTACATATCCAAGTTGATGGGTGATATGCAAATGAGGATCCGTATTCATTCAGAAAAGGTTCCGTGCAGCCATACAGTTTGAACGGGAAACGCTTGGAAACTCTGCGAACCCCAGACTGTTGCTGGCGCTCCTTTGGGATGTCCCTCGATTGATCCCGGTCCATGACGCACACTTGATGGCATAGGTCGCCAGAAAGCGTTTGGTGCGGCACTTCAGCAAAGTGATCACGCCGAGACTCGGCTGCGTGAGGATGGGATGAACTGGGTGAGGCTTGGTGGGGATAAGGAATCGCGCTTTTGTAAAATCATACTGGAGAGATGGACTCATAAAATGCCGACCCAAACTTGTCCAATTGAGAATAAACAATGCCATATATAACCGATCTCGATTGTCTATTGAACGCCATGGATCCTTTAAAGGAGTAAAGAGAAAAGTGACCCATGATTTCCTATATTCCTATATTGTCTAGACCAGGTGTTGCATGGGTAAATCAAAAGTACAAAAGGCAACGTTAGAGACTTTCATGTGTTTACTGGATGATATCCATATCCCTACAAAAATTCCAGCACACTGTGCAATTACAAGGATAACTACACTTGGGACCAGGAGGTCTTTTCAGTTCATCCCATGTTCAAAAGGATCAACACCAAATGCTGGAAGTGAAGGTCTTTGATCACCATGGTTCAATTTCAAAATAGAAAATGCGAATCAATCTGGGCAACTAGCTTAGCAACCGCTCGTATCGAAGCAACGTGAAAAACACATGAACCATCGCAAACCTGTCGTTCGGTTCTTGATTGTATACATCAACGATCTGGCATTAGTCTGTATCACACATATAAACAATCATAAACAAACCTGGTTGACCACATGAAACAGGAATGGCAAAGTGGTTATTGACCACTGTCGTCACTATGTAACTCCTATTCATGAAAGTTCCCTTCTTAATTGAACCAAGGTTCCAAAACCCAGAGGGCGACAATATATCCATGCAGTTGCTTTTGTGGTTCTTGGACCCCCTTACCTGATAGAGAAGATCAAGAGATGCTGTCCGGATTCCTGACGCTCTCATACATCGAGAAAGGTTTCCCTTCCCTGCGTAGAACTCCACATAGTCCCACTCCTGGTTTGGTGAGCGAGAAGCAGGCAACCAAACACTTTATGCATGTTAGGCGGCTCAGCTCGATCGTAAGCATATTATGATTACTGTACAATTTGATCGAATTGACATTCATGAGTGTTAACATGAAACCATGCGCGTATACAATTTTGGAAGGGCAGGATGATGCTTTGAGCAAATGCTTTGCACTTGAAATGTAACATTTCGAGCTACCAATGGCCTTGTACATGTGCGTACTGTATGTGGCTTGGTCTCCTCATCCAAGTTCATATTTTCACTCCAAAGCGTGAGCAGGATGATCATAGCCAGCACCTTGGCCAGTTGAAGATGGGGAGTACTTTGAATCAACATCAACGCTTTAGTATATGAAAAACTGTATCGTTTTGATCAATTGAAGCGATCTCCGATGTACCATCGGCTTTGAGCCCCTGACCTTCGGGCATTGCAGTTTCCACAAGCTGTAGAACAAAGCATCGAGCTCAGGTGAAACAACATCGTACGTCCAATTCATGGACGAGGCAGGACTGGGAGAGACCGCCGGAGTGAATAAAAATGTGGTTCCTCTGAGCCACAAACTTCTCGTTTGTTGTGAATGAATCTGAGCGCTCGCTGAAAGCAATTGTTCGATTCCTGAATATAGTTGAAGTTGCTGTATGCATTTGGATTCACAAAGACTCAAACAAGTCAGATCGACCTCCTTTCCTCTTATTTTTCTTGATGGACAGCCGCACTGACCACACCCGGCCCCGCGAACCAGGCATTGGATGTCCGCTGCTCGAGGCAGGCAGAAGACCTCCACAAAGACTGGACTGGAGGATCGAGTTGAAGGTTAACGTTTTGTCGCTCAAAACCAATTAAAACATTCAGCAATGAGAGCTGCTCAAAAGCTATCGACTTTTCACTTCGAGACCGAGCTGGCAGCAGTCTTGTTGCGCTGCCATTCATGAGAGAAACCCCAATTGGCACACAGTGCACACGCCCCCTGCTGCACTGTAGCAAGCTGTTCCATGTTTGATGTAATTACTTAAATTAAGATGGATCCATGAAGCCATGAATACTATAAAACTAAAACTGAAACATTGGACATACACCGTGACCCAGGAGGAAGGAGCACAAAAAGTGTGCCTTAGAAATTAACCCAGGGTTGCCTATGAATCAACCCACTACGCTACCCAATAGCAGTATTCACATGGTCCCACAGCTCGATCAATCCACGTTCTTGCTGGCTGCCCTCTGGCGCAACATCTCAAAGGCCATGCGCCCGCAGTGCTTGAGCGTTTCCTCGCTGTGGGGGCTGCGGCCTTCCAAGTTCAAAGCCTAGGCGCGAGCGAGCAAGGGACGGTAGAGTTGAGCATGGGGTAGGACATGTTGATCGATATCATGATTTAAATTGTAACATCCTTCTCCCATGACCCATCACTGAAGAATGTCAGAAATTGAAATATATAAAAATTCTTGGGCCGTATTCTTTCCAGGGGCAGTCATGTAGGCAATCTTTGCACAGATTGCCATTTTCCACGACTCAGGGGAACAAACGTTATTGAAAGAGCAATGATGTCCATCCTTGCCCTCTGCGATGATTTTCAATCCACATCCACATTTGCTCCAATAGCAGTTGAGGGTGTGCGCCTTCAACCCAGTAAGGTCCCCTTTGATCTTTAGCTTGTAGGGCTCGCTTTTTGGGGAGTCCTTCTCATCAAACTGCAAAGCAAAGTCAACCAGCGATTGGGCCAGCTTTATGTCAGCCGGCTCGGCTGGGATGGCCGAGGAGTCGGCACTGCCCTTCTTTGCCCTGGATTTCGCCTTTGGTTTCGGCTTTGCAGCCGCCTTTGTCTTCCCTTCTTTCACCTTGCCCTCAACAGCAACCTTTGGCTTCCTTGCAGAAGCCTTGGCTGCAGTCCTTTTCCCAGCAGCACTCGAAGAAGCAGCTCCAGCCAATGATGAAACCTCTTCTTGAGGTTCCTTCTTGGCAGGTTGTTTCGGCCGCTTGCGGCCTGATGCTTCAGGATGGCTGTCAGCCAAGGGTTCAGTCTTTCGTTTGCGCCGTGGCTTTGGTCCCCCCACTTCAGCCACTTCAGGGCCTATATGGGAAGATGAGGCAGCCGCAGCAGCATTGTGCAGAACCCTTCTCGCACGATGGACTTTCTTCTTGGGTGATTTCTTGGTCTTCTTGGATTTCTTACCTTTCCGCTTTCCGGCGGCCTTCTTGGATTTCTTACCTTTCCGCTTTCCGGCGGCCTCCTTGGTCCTCTTCTTGGATGATTTGACGGTTGACTTGTGAGCCAACTGGTCACTCCGAAGAAGAACTACATCACCGGGCACTGCAGACTCCTGGAGAACGGCCAATCGCCGCCAGGTGTTTCCATTTTTTCATGGGGCGTGTCTATAGACGCATGAGGGTAGCCACCATACCATTGGTTCTATACAAACAGATCAAACTTAATATTGACCGGTGTGGCAACCACATGTCAAAAGAGTTGCGGTCACTCAGCCTCAAATTCATTCCCAAACGACTTGACTGATTCACTATACATCGGGCCAAACAGTATAGGCACATCCAAGTAAAAGTGCTTGGTGATCTCTGACTTAAGCTAATTATGTGAAATGGCATGCCATCCCCTCAATCCTCAGCGTGGCCAGGCCCATCCGATTCCACAGCAGCAGACGCAGGAGGCCCCGAACCTTGAGGGAGCTCGACCTTCGCGGGCTTGCACTGACGCCTGAAGTTCTTTCGGTGTTGTTCAGCATCTAAGACTGGCGACGGTAGTGTGGCCGAAGGTGACGTTGGGGGATCCACCTTCATGATGTCAATGGGCTGCGTGTCCAAGTTGTCCGCATTCCCACGGACAGGGGTTGGCAACGCCCGATGTGCTCCTGGAAAATATGTCAAGCCAGGAAAGGTCATCATGATTCATCATGGCGTCAAATATTGTCAACTGGCGTGTTCCCATTGATGATGCAAGGGAACTATAAAAATACAAACGATTGTAGCGCCAAATGACGGATATGGAACATTTGTTGAGTTTTGGTTTCATGTTTTATTGCAGACGTTTTTCAAACCACTCCAATTTCAATAGTAAATCCACCAACCCAAGATGGTCCTGAAGCCTTTGGTGGTTCCATGCTTTCGGATTTCATTTTTGCCATGGAGGCGGAGATCCGGGACTTCTTCTCTCGCAACCTCGTGAACGTCAGGGCCCCGAAGAACAGAATGCAACAGATCGAACTATATTTCAAACACAACAGGATCGACGTGAAAGAAACACTGAAATGTATACATCTCAACATATCATCATTGTTTTTCAGCGCAGACAAACCTGAAATGATCAAAATGCATCAACACATGTCAAAACCGCTATGTTTCTTTTGTTCGTCGCCAGGGATGAGGCTTTCACACCCCACCACTCACCCCTTTAATAGTTCTGAGAAAGCGGCGCTTGCAATTGAGCGTTCGCGGCCTCCAATTTTGCGAGCGTTGCTTGAAGTTCTCGATCTGCGTGTGCAAGTGGAGCACGTCCAGCTTGTAGCTCCGTAGAACCTGCGGTAGCCATGATTTCTTTTTTTCGGGATTAGTGGCATACATGGGAAAACCACTGATGCCATCATGGGGACAAGCTGACACGGCCCAATTATTTGGCTGTTTTCTGCTTATGGCTAATCAGTTCTTGATCAAAGGGTTTTATCATTTTGCCTGACTAGAACTTCCAAGCAATTGACAAGAGTTCATGGACACTTTCAGCTGATCCAATGGACCAAAAAATGTTCCCTTGATGCGTATTACCCATCTAATCTCGAAGATGCCTTCCCCAGGTGAAGACAAAGAATGTGAAGCCGCGCCCGATGAAGGACCGGGGGCCGTCTCTGCAGCTGGATGGATGGGCATGGCCGGAGTGGGTTCCTCTGGTGGAATTGGCTGGTCATGCTCACGCTCAAAAATTGGCTGTGAATCGGGAAAAGGTATAAATGGATGGGGAGGCGGTGAACTCGGTGCCATAGGCTGTTGGTCTGGAATGTCTTGGCCCTGCATGTCATCATCGTCCCCAGATTCCTCACTACTGCTGACGTCGGCTTCCACAGGGTCATAGGCATCAGGATCATCTTTCTTCTTGGATTCCAGCAATGCCTGGCAAGCAGGCATCTACATTATTGTACTCGGTATACGCCGAGTGCAAAATCTACGTACATGGAACACGCACAGTCACTATAAGTTGTTGCATTGTATACCAAAGGACTGTTCCATATGAGCTTCGTCAACAAATGATGTGATTGGTCAAGGGAGTGAAAGGCTAGAGACACCATAAAAGGGACATGAAGATCCATGCGTGAGAGTAGCGCCTTGCGCGCAAGTAACTTGGCTTCGTGCTTCTTCCTCACCTGCATAACCAGGTCCTGGACGATGTCTTGACTTTAATCGGATACGCTTCGATGGGACATGTGTCCAGCCAGAAAACTGGTTATTCATAACCCTCATGGCATGTAGCTTGTATAGTCCTGGAACCCCCACTCCACACATTTAATCATAGCTTCGTATCTCTTTGATGCCCTCCAGAAGCAGTCCTTCAAGTCCGGCTTCAGGATGAGGCAAAGTTCCTGGAAGTTTTCAACCTGAAGGACCGAGACGGCTGGGCACTACTGGTGTTTAGGGGCATGGGTCAGAACCCATGTGCAGACTTACCTTTCAGTTTCCATGAGTTGAGCAGTGCCGAGATCAATTAAAGAATGTTAAAGACAAATGTTACATCATCAAATGGAAGAACCTTTCATCAGGATGAGCCAGCACAATGATCAAGACCACTGGGATTTCACTCTCCCTTAAACCAAGTAGCCGTGCTGACTTTCTTGGTTCGCACCTTCATTTTGACAAAGGAGAGGAGCTTTCGAATCATCCAAGCATCATTGACAACCACCAACTCGTCTGGCATTGTGCTACATGTTTCATACAAATGTGTGATCTCTTCCTTGAGCCGATCAATGCCTGGTTGAGGCATGCCATTGGTTTTTCCCATTCTCTCTATGAGAGGCTTCAGCAAACAGAAGATGTGTGTATGCTTCACACACTTCACATTTTCCGTGATACTTTTGGGGATCAGCACTGCGTCCTCCTCTCGCAGATGCTCCCGTATCGCAGAAAAACCTTCCCACTGTGAAGCCAGGCCGTCCAACTCAAGCTTTGGCTTCGTGTCATCTTCTATAGAGGCTGAACTCATGGCAGCACTAGCCTATAGGTGGACACCTATCCCAGCAAGATTTTTTGATATTCGAGCAAAAAGGGTTTCTCGAGGATAGGCCAAAGCATGACAATGGCTGGAAAATGCTGGAAAAATGGTTTTACCGCGTAGTGTTCAAGCATGTCTTGCTTCAAAACTCTCGAACCCATGAGCTGCTTTGCAGGACTAGCTGGCCTGAAGCAGCCGCATGGCAACCCACACGCCATTGTCAAAAAAGAGCTGCGTTGGACGCGGGATTGGTTGCCCTGATTGCCACTGCATGGTTCGAACACATGTGATTAAAGATTTTGTTATTCCATGTTATTCCTTTGCAGTTGACGTTTGTCAATCATTTTGGTCACATCTTGATGCAAGTTCTTTGGACCCACCACCACACCATGAATGGTGTAGAGCCATCCTGCTTGAGAGGCGGCTTTATGCAAGAAGTTCCTGGCTAATGAAGGGAATGCAACAGGATCATGATGACTAAATGATCTATGCTAAGGTCCATAGTTGAGAGATTCTCAAAAACACGATGTTTTTTTTGAAGACACGATGTTTTTATAACAGCACTGTCAAGACATGATGTTTCCAGAAAGAGTCGACAAATTCTTAGGTTCTAAGTTCTTTAGGTATATATTATATACTGTATCAAAAGCCACCATCCTCAATTTGTTCAGCGATCTCTATGTTCAGACTTCGCACTTCAGATTGGCATTCCTTCCAGTTTCGCACTTTTTCACCGGGGAAAAGGAACAGTCACCGCGGGGAACGGTCGCCTTGTCTGCAGACATGCCGCCACCTCTCTGACCACGTCCTGCTTTCCGATCGCCACCGAACCTCTCGCCTGGGTTCGCCGCCCGGTCGAGCTCGGCTCCATCGGTGGATCCGGTTCCCAAGGCGTGTCGGTGCACATTCTGCACTTTTGGACCAAGGCCGTCCGATGAGTCGAGTCTGAGACCGGGTCTGAGCGAAAACGTAGACCGTCTACGTGTAAGAGAGGCAGGTCTGGCAGGATGGAGCCCTGTTTTTCGATCGAGTGGCTTTTTGGGTCCTTTGTATGTTTCTTTAGTTCACCGGAGTTGATGTATAGGCACAGAATTATATAGTTGCGATAGTTGGGTATGACCGGTATGGCCTGTTGTGACATGTTTGGTTGTTGGTTCGTTTGCAGGTTGTGTTGCAGGTGAGCATAGACAGACACGCACAGCACAGGGCTGAACTATAGCCATAAGCTATGCAGTTTAATCCCGAGCACCTACTGAGAAAAATAAAGCTACCATGCATACCACTCCACCCCAGTCAGACGGCGCGATCGCAGATCCTGAAGCTCACCCCGGTTTTGGCGACCTCGGATAGCAACGTGCCTTTCTTAGCGGGCAGTGCAGTGGGCAGGATCAGGCAGTGGTTAGAGCGACTGGCAAAGGAGGATGACCATGCCAAACGCGTGAGTCAAGTTCTCTAGTCTAAGTTGGGGCCCTGCAGACTACACAATGTAGACTGTCAGTCAAGGACCCCTAGGAAGACTTCTTCTCATCTACTAGCCAGTGGTCCATCTTAATTTGGAGGGCAACATGGACATCCCAAATCCCAAATCAATGGTTTAACTGGTCAATGCTGATCAGGAGTTCATTGCAAGACATTCTACCCCACCTGTAAAGCCGAGTGATGAGTCAGTTGATACGAGCTCCGAGTCGGACTGAACCGTCCAATGACCACCTGGAAGTCATCATCCACCATCCCCGGGCAGAACGAGTCACTGGACTCTCGAGGAATACTGGACTCTAGAGGAATGAAGTCACTGGATCTTACATCTCTGCAACATTTTATGCCGAACTTCATCTAAAAAATCAGCCAGTTGGTTGGCAGAACATGTTGCGCTGTAGGGCAGCGAAAGCTCCACCGGCCCTGGACAGAACACCCTCACCGGCCCAAGATAATACAAGCAAAGGAGGAGGAAGATTTATTCTACCCAGGATCCTTGGACCCTCCTTAGAAGGGGTCGAAGCCTCTATAACAAGGGTTTGTACCCGAACCAAACCCTTGTTTTTGAGGCTGCGGATCCTTAGGGCAAAATCATGCACTCTTCAGTCTGACTAAAAGTCCTGAGCTCTGCAGACGGAGCTGGGGTTCATTGACAGACGGTTCGCGCGGTTCGTCGCACCGCGTTCGGCCGAGTCGGTTCGCACTGAGGTCGCAGTGGACAACATTTGCGAAGGCCTTCGTGCTCGAGGGGTCAAGGCCTTTCCTCTCCCGATTGGCGCGGGCTCGCGGAGCTTTCCAAGCGGAGCTCGGGCGAGTCGAAGAGCTCATTCAGATCGGGGAGGTTTGACCACGTGGCGTTTTCAATTTTTGTTTTGAACAAATCATTCAGAACCAGGACCTTCCAAGTTCGGTGTCTTTTTTGGACACCCCGAATCAGCTCTAAGGGGCTATTTACAGACACCTCAGAAGGAAGGGTCCTCGAAGGAGATGTAATATGTTCATTCATGTTCTTTTGGCTCCCGGCGCGGGATCAGGGTTCGTTATGGTTTGTTCACTCTCTCTCCATGTGGATGTCCTGCACGAGTCCAAATCGGCAGCGAACAGGTCTGTCCCACTTGTAGCACTGGGTCAACGAATTCGTTGGAACTGTCGGGTTCATCTATCCAATCATCATCCATTGGGCTCCGAAGCCTTCAACCTGGGATGGTCGACCCGAAGTGCCTTCCACCGGGACAAAACCGTGGACCGGATCCGATCGCAGATCCGCCGACCGTTCGATCCGTACCTTCAGGCGATCCGCGTGGGGCGACCAGAGAAGGTCCGCAGCGTCATTGAGGATATGACCTTGGAGGCGTGGCGTGGCTCTCAGAGGTTTTTGGGAGCTGAGATCGTCCACCAGCTTGACCAGTGAGAAGCGGAAAAATCCGAAGCGTTTGTTTTTTTTTTTTGGGGGGGGGGCGCGTGGGACGGTCAATTCATCTTTTTTGGTTGCGTTCTACGAGTTGGCACTGCGCCAAGCGGTCCTGTCTTGGAGCGACATGCGAGTTCGGCACGGTGAGTGGAACTGTTTAGAGCAACTCGCGTGGCCCGAGTTGGACATGTTGACCTAACGGATGGGAACCAGCATGGATGGGGAGCCACCGCCCAGACTCGATGTCCAGCTCCCCTTCCGTCGCTTAGCTGAGGGCGGTTTGGAATCAGAATGTCATTCAGCACCTGGAAGAGGCACTGATCTTTCGATCTCCAGTGTCGGAATCCTTGAAGGAACTGGAGAGTTGAGGGGGGTCCCTGCTTGCCATGGCCTATCTTCACCATTCACCTCCCACCGTAGACCACATATTTAGTCTTAAGAATCCGGGCTCTCAAAAATTCGGTTTGGTTCGGGTCCGGACCCCTGCGTTTCGGTGTCGGGTCCGGCCCCTGTCAAGGGGTCCCGTACAGATTCTATAGGGTATAGGCTTGTGTTTGGGAGCAAATTCTCCCCCAGGGCACCCAGGCAAACCACTAGTTCGCTGGGAGTCCCAGTGGTTCCAGTTCGACGACCAAACCGAACCCCTGGTTCCATCTGTTCTTCCTTTATAGTGACAACTGGGATGCACTAGGTCCGTTAACAGCATCCTTCAGAGGGTCCCATTGGCCGGGTGGCAGGCAGAGCTGAAGCGCCTGAAGGAGTCCGAGGAGACGTGGACGACGGACGGTGAAGCGTTCAGAGCGGCGAGAATGGGAAAGGGAAAGAAGGTGAGTGGTTTCGGAGGCTCATAGACCCTCAAACTGCTACATGTTTGAGGTCCAAAACCCTGGCTATGAGGGTCCAATGAGCCTTTGGGTGGTTTCGGCGTTTGGTTTCTTTGAGTGGAAGAAGAGAAGTTTGAGTGGTCCATAAAAGAGAGAATGCTGAACACATTGGTCCTTCTAAGCATCTGTAGTGTTTCGACAGAAATCATTCTGAAATCCTTCTGAAACGTTGCATACAAAAATTCCATGTTTGACCGGGCAACTCCGTAGAACTTCATGAGATGAAGTCCATGCTCGAGCTTTTTACGGTTTGGAGACGCCGTTCGCTGCGCTCGGACACCCAGACTCCAAGCTGTCAGACTGTCCATATGTTCGTTTTGAACGTCCGTGTGATCGATCGTCGTTGGCACCAAAAACCATGTCTCAACTGGGTAGTGGTTTTCAGATAACCATGCATCCTCCCGTCACCAAGTGAGACCTGGCAGGGGCCCAAATGGGCCCAAGAACCCGAGAAAGTTCGAGGAGACCTGGCAGGGTGGTTTCAGAATATGTTTCTATCTTCCTTTACGATTGACTCCTTGTTTCTATCGTATTCGAGTTGAAACCACCGCTCAAGTGGGTTGTATAACTTGTTTCGCTGATATTCAGGAGGGAGACCGCGGCACTCTGGAGGAAGATCAGGAGATATGACGATGACTTTCGATGGGAGCGGTTGACATTCGAGGTCAGTGGCAGTTCTGAAAGATCATGACACCCTTTGAAAGCGCTTCTTATAGTTGTACTTTTTAGTTGTACTTTGCCCCAAGGTGAAAGTGTGAGGCAGTTCCTTGAAGAAGTTCACGCAAAAGAACGCTTGTTTCTAGAATGCGTGGATGGGGAATGGCTGATTTGGGTAATCCATCGTAACAGCAATAGCCTCCAACCTACTAGCGAGCCAGCCTCCAGCCTCCATACCTTTGATCGGCATCCTGGCCTTGTTGACCCGTCCTCTGGGGGCGGATCAAAGGGGTCCGACCCGATCTGCAGGGAGAAGGCCCGTATGGATTCCAAAAGCAACAAATCAGGATCCAAAGCCAGCACCACGAATTCCAGGTGTCCAGCCCCGAATCTTCGGCGTTGACTCGGGGTCACCCCGAGGCGTTTTCTCCTGGTGGAGCGAGCGATTCGCCCAGCGGGTCGAGGTTGTTGGACATCGGTGAAAATCCCTCTTGCGGTGCGTCCACTTCGTCATTGAGCTTTTGCTGCACTGCTTAAGAGAAACCAATCCTCGGTCAACGCAA